AAGGGCCCTGAAGCCTTTCCTCCAAGCACCCTCAGTGGCACGCAGCTCCCTGACGTAAACGGGGAGCTTACAGGCAATATAGGGTCTTCTTTGCTCACATGCAGAAAGCAAACAACAAAGGGACCAAACGAAAATCAGGCTGGATTTAGCAAACCTGTTTCTGACTGTATTTCCCTTCTGTTCACTTGGATTGAATTCTGTGCTGTTTATCAAATATTATGACATTGTGAGAGATGGAAGTCCATTCCAAGGGTGATTAAAAGAGAGCAGCACCGTGGAAGTGATATATTCTTGAATCCCTTCCCCTCTAATTAGCTGGGACTCAGCTGTTCTGCTCAGTTTCCATAATGAAAGAGGAGATGGGAAGAGATGGGCCTTTTATTTCCCCAGGGCCCGAGGCACTGTCATTTATCTGCCATTCCCTACTCCAAGCTGCCAGTGAAGGGGCAGAGGAGGAGCGCCGATACCCTTTCACCTTATCCCTAGGCTGTGCTGATGGGCTAATCTGTTCAGCTGCTATGCAATTAGCATAAGCAATGCTAATTATATTAATTATGCTCATACACTGTGCATATTTACAACAGCAGTTAGCAGACCGGTGGGTTTCTTAACCAAGTATTGGGGTGCCTCAGCTATGCAGGTTTAAAAATGTAAGCGTATTAGCTGGATGCGCTGCTGAGGTGGAACTCTGGAATATCCAAAGCATTTAATACCATTTTAGCGTGGCACAACGTGCTGCATGCTGATAGCAAAATGCATATCATTGCTAGAAGACAGTGCCATTATTTCATGTAATTACTAAATGCAAATGTTGAAACCTGGTCACCACATCAGAGTGCCGCCAAAGTCCCCTTAGTATCATCTTCCAACCAGTGTTTATCTGTAGGGATAGCAGTCAAACAAATAAGAGATCTGTGTAAATGCTTGTGGGCTGAGTCTACAGAAATTATACTAGTTACTATCGATGTGGTATGCCTAAAATTAGCATACAACTGAACTTAGAGATAGATTTATTTAGTCAAATAGCCAAAAGCACAGAGGCCTATGAATGATTTAATAGGCATGGAAGATATGCCCCCCCTTTGCAGAGTATTTTACAACCATGTGACGAACGCCCATCACCCAAGGCGTACTCACTAGATGGAGGAGCCATAAATAATCTGGGGACACGGAGCTTGCAGGAGCCTCGGCTACATGGCTGCTGCTGGAAACATTCAGGGCAGTTTCGTGAGGGCCTCTTGGAACTATCTGAGACAGCAACAATACAAGCTTGAGTCTTCAGTATAGACTGCGTTCAGGCAATGGGGTCAAGCTCTAACGTGGGCAACTGAAAAGCAATCGAGGAGAGCTGTGTGCTCTTGTCATTCCTGACACCCAGCTGTTCCTTCTGTCACCGCTCTCTCCAGGACAGAAATCGAACACATATATTAATCAGAAAAACTATATAAAGCTTGAGCCTATCTTGACTCGGAGTGCTGACCATTTTATAGAAATGCAAAGCCAAAGTAGCTCTAGGCAGATCTTCAGTCTGTATTTCAGCTGTGCTCCTTCCACACTTCCTTTTGGTGTTGTGAGGAAAGTGTTAGCTGCTAAAGCAATATAAAACCACCTAAGCACTTGAGAGCAAACAAACAAATTTAAACCAATAGATACCTTTTTCAGAATTATTAAATTTTTAAGTTTCTCCAAAGGAAAAAAAAAAAGCCCTTCCAGAGTGTATGCAGACACTCAAAAGCAGTCACGAAGATGCTGTTCAGATTGACATTCTCTCTCACATTTCATTCACTTCAATACAGAAGATATTCATCTCGTGGATGATGTTAGCATTTCAACAAGCGTTTTGAATCTGAAGTAACTGTGTTACTATAGGCAGAGTCATCATGACTAGCAGCCGGCTTCAATTTGTTGTTATTCCACTTATTTTCTGAGACACGGCTGATACTCGTGCAGTGAGACCTCCGTGACTGGCAGGGCTGTTGTAGCTTCTACCTTCGCACGTCACCGGCTGCTCTCTGGGGTGTGCTGATCGTCCTGTCACCAGAGGCCAATGCTCAACACTCACAAAGCATTTTCTGATTTCTAGACTCTACTTTTAATGCAGACCTTTGTATGCACATTGGAGCATGCAGCACGCAATGTTACTGTTTTAAAGTTGCTCATAAAACTAGAGAGAAGAGGGTGTGCAAACCCCACGGGGACGGGGATCAGGCAGCTTCCACGTGGTCTCTGGGGCGCAGTCTCCCGCTGGGTTTGAGCCGTCGGAGCGCAGGCGTTGTGCGGAGCGCGGGCGTTGTACGGAGCGCGGAGCGGCAAGCTCGGCCCGCACGCTGCGAGCCAGGCCGAGCAGCTCCCCCTGCTGAGGGGGCAGCGAGGGCAGCCTGAGGTGAACGTGAGGCCACGGCTGGGCGTTCGCGGACACAAGGCTCAAGGACGTCCAGCTGCGCCTGGAGTGTGTTTATCCCAGGGTAAATCAACTTAAGCGCCTCGACGTGGAGATCTCCGGTCCTCTTGGGTACTGCTCGTCCGCTCCGGCGTCCTCTCCCTGTCCTCCTCTCCCTGCCGTGAGTTCCAGCCTGTGCTTGGGCCAACTCCGGCAGGGAGCCAGCTAAGGGAGTCCCTCCGGCTGCAAAGTTTATCCCGGGTCTGTTTACAGCTCCTGCGGATGAGCTTCTTGCGATAGCTCAGCAGGTGACAGCGCCGGTGCCAGCAGAGGAGGAGGCAGAAGGCGCCGGCCAGGGGCAGGACGAGAGCAGGACCGAGGCGGCTGGTTTCGTATTCGTAGGACGGAGCCATGGAGCTGCGCCCTGGGGCTGCTCCTGTACCAGTAAATCAGCGGTGCCTGAGTCTGTTTCCTGGCCTGGGGCCAGCCAGACTGGAAGGGCCTTCAACTGTGCAACTCCCTCACGCTCTGAAGAGGGCCTGGCCACATCCAAGCGCTTATTGGAATAGCCTTTGGCCCACGCTAATCCCCCAAACACGCCTGGGAATTATTCGAGAAAGTTTTAGTTGGCACAGGCTGTGCAATGACAGAGAGCATGTTCACAGCTTTACAGTCGAGTTCCAGTGCCCGGGAATGTTCCCTGGTAATGTTTATTTTGCTGGTACAAACACAGCCCTTGGAGCCCAAGGGAAGCCTGAAGGACCTGGCGTGGAGCACTGCGAGTGTAAGCGCTACAGCATCCTCAACGCTCACATGTAGGCCTGGCACCCAGCTAACACCTGATTAATGGGCTGTAATGAGCTCAGTGAAGTGCTGCGCTATCCTGGGCGCTCATGGGACTCATTAAGCACTGCAAGAAGTAGCTTAGTCTATTTTCAGAGAAAGGTAGGTGGCTCCCAACCTTCAGATAAAAGGGGCACGAGGTTCACACAAGCAGAGCTTTGCAAGACTGCCTGAATAGATAAAAGCTATGCAGTAGTTTCAGCAGAGAAGAAAATTGGGAGCAATTAGAAAGCCAGATGTCACAACGCCGAGATCGTATCCGTGTGGGCTGTCTAGCCGCGTCGGGACCTACTCTGTTGTCACTTTGTAACATGAAGATCACTGCTCTCGATTGTGTAATAGGGAAAACTTCACATAGCTAATAGCATTGACAATCTGGGGACTAGAAGAAATAGTGTTGGCAGAGCTCTTATTAAAAAGATATATATATATTTCTGACAAAGCATCTCGTCTTGAGCAACAGAATCCGCTTTGAAGAGGAGTAGTAACTTGCCCTCATGCCTAATGCCACCTCCAAGCATATATGCCCAGCCAAGTTTTACAAATCAAGCATAACCAGGCTGTGCATGGCCTTTCCCTATGTGTTTGCTTTCTCCAGCGAGTGCCTGCAGTGGAGGCACCATGTAGCTCCAGTGCTTATTCTTAGTAGACACACTGGGTTGTGAAGGCTTGTGAAGACACCTGCATATTGCTCTTTTTAGGGCACCTGTAGTCATCCCTTTCTGCAGGGATGAGAAGACGGCTTAAGCTCGCTCTCCGCAGCACAGTTCTTAGGTTGTGGTTTCACAAGCACCACCTCAACACCATGCAGGCAACTCCGGGCCCAGCTGCTCCTCTCCCTGCAGCAAGCTCTCGGGGCAGCACGGATCCGATGCAGCAGAGACCTCTGCTTGGCTGGCTGCTCCACTCAGTGCGCAGCAGGGTTGTCCCACAAACACGGAGCTGGGCATGGAGAAAGCCTGGGTGCACCACGTGCTTCCTCGCAGGGCTGCTGGGGGCCCCGCTGGGTGCTTGGAAGACAGAGATGTGGCGCCTGGGACTTGTTTACCCGCCTCTTGCCATCGGGGAGAGCATCCCTGGGGTGTCGCAGCACGCACGTCCACACCGCCTTCCCTCTGCAGCAAGGCTGCCAGGAGCGCAAGGAAGGATCACGGGGAGATGTAGGCCTTCATTCACGCCAAGCAAACCCTCATTACAATTTTTGTATAGTAACACCTCAAAGTGATGATGAATTTCCCTTCAGGGCTGCTCTCTTCTAGCTTTGCAGTCATCTCCAGCACAGCCTGGCCACTGACATAGCAAACGGGGCAACCAGCCTGGGGGAGATGTGTGCCAGGCAAGGCACAAGGCCCCAGGGACAGTGCTGGGGTTTGCACACCAAAGCATCTGGTTTAGTCTCATGTCTCCAGCAATCTGAGCTGTTGGACCAAAAAGACTCTGGGACTAAGAAGTGAAAATGGAACCATTTTATCTTTGAAGCAGGACAACCTGATAATACGAACAAATTGTCTGACAAAGCTCCAGCCATCTCTGCTTTTTGTTTCCATGAAAAGGAAACCCCTTTGCAGATGCTCTTGCTCTTTGTTCAGAAAGCTGGAGCAACCCAGCTAAGTAAACTAAGCTACATGGAGAGTCCTATTCATGAAGGTCTGTGGGCTCCCCGCACCTGGTGGGAGGCAGCTCCCTGCAGCACCTCTGATGAATAGTGGGCAGGCCCTGCCTTACAGCTTGTCTCCTGCTCACCATCGCCACTGACCTCCTTCCTTTTGTTTTCCAGGAATATCTTCCAGGCTGCCGGAAATCATGTCAATAGGATCACATTCATTCTCCCCAGGAGGTCCTAATGGGATTATTAGGAGCCAATCCTTTGCTGGCTTCAGCGGTCTTCAGGAAAGGCGCTCCAGGCAAGTACTCTGCCCTTTAAAGGGGAGTTTCTGGCCAGGCGTTAAAGGAGCCCTGGTCTTTAGAGGGTGGGGGTGGAAAAGAGGGAAGAGAGGAGCATCTTCTTTCTGACTTGCAGAAAAACAATGCTGTAGGCTAAAAATCTCTCTGTTGTTTGTATAAGCAAGCTGTGATTCTGTATCTTTGCTACTAAAAGCCTACTTGTCTTCTCCCCCTACTCCTTAGTGCAGGGCTCTTTCCTGTTCCGCGAACTTGTGACAAAATCTCAGAGTTATCTCTGAAACCTTCCCAACCTGCAAACCCTGCAGGAGCACCACACGCTTCCCACTATCCCAGTTTATGGCCAATGCTACCCAAAAGACAGCGTGCTCGCTGCCACCCTGCTGTGAATCCAAAGCCACCCCCCTTCAGGAGCGGGGCTGCCTGACGGCCCAGCCGGCAGCGGAGCAGAACTTGGCGGAGGAGCCCTTGGTCGCCCCTTCCTTTGGCTGGGCAGGAAGGGGGGCTTTGAGTGAAGTCAAGGACAGCTGTTGAGTTGACGGGCTCACAGGAGAGCAACCAGAGAGTCCCCTAAATCCAGCAGGACTACCCATGCTCACCATACGGAGCTGCCCTAGACCAGCACAGTGCTGCTCTCCAGCCAGACACGCAGCCAAGCCACCTTAGAGACATCCCCCACCTTTATACGCTGGATTAGGAGGATCCCTTTGCTTTTAGCGCCCGGCTGTAGCTCAGCCCTTCCACTGCTGTGGCCGAGCAGCGCGGGGCAGGACAGACCCGGTATCACAGAGGTGTCTGATGAGTCTCAGACTTCAGGCAGCGCTTCCAGACCAGCACTCGCACCTTGTGGACGTGACTGGCACATCAAAAGCTGATACCGTTGCCTCCCAGACTGCTCAGACCTCTCGGCCTGTAAACAAATACAGGCCTCCAGTAGGCAGGCACATAAGCAGATCCTTTTCTGCTAGCAAGGATAACATCAGGAAGATTTCCTGAAGCTGTGCTCCTTTGAAATTGTTCTGATTTATAGGGGTTTTCTCCTCTTTAATGTTCATTTTGCAGGTGCAACTCTTTTATTGAAAATTCCTCTGCACTCAAGAAGCCCCAAGCAAAGGTGAAGAAAATGCATAATTTGGGCCATAAGAACAGCACCACACCTAAAGAGCCCCAGCCTAAGAGGATGGAGGAAGTCTACAGAGCCTTAAAGAACGGCCTGGAGTAAGAGCCTTTGGCACGCTGCATGATTCAAGCTTTCTTTGACGTTTTAGAGCCTAAAGCAAGAGTAGGGATTTCTAATCACAGGAGAGGAACCTGGATTGTAAAATTCACCATTTGAAATATTTGTTCAAGAAACAGATATATCTGGGGGGTTGATTCTGACTCTGCTCAAATTGATAGCAAAGCGGCAAAGCTCCTAATAGCTGGGATTTCAGCATTAGAGGGTTTTTTTTTTTCCCTGAATTTCCTTTAGTTATTTGAGAGGCTCATACATACCACACACGAGATAAAACGCCCCAGAAGTTATCGGGGCTTTTACTAGCTAATAATACAAGAACAGCAATTAGAAGGCATCAGCCCATAAACTAGGGAGTGGATTAGCTTACTCGAAACTGGTTGTTTAGCATAAGGAAAACACTGAGCTGTTACACCCAGCTAAAGAAGCAGCTCCTATTTATTGCCCAAAAGGCAGCAAGGAGCTGTTTTAGGGACAGATGAGCATAAATCACTTTTTGTTGGAAAGCACATCTAGCCACTTGTTGCCCAGATTTTCTTTCCCCATGGTGAGCAAGCAGCTCGGTTCGGTGCCCCGAAGTGCCCAAGTCCCTCTCTGGTTTGTGTTTACAGCGAGTATCTGGACGTTCACCAGACGGAGCTGGATAAGTTGACTGCTCAGCTAAAAGACATGAAAAGAAACTCACGCCTGGTACGTGTTATGCTCTTAATTATACAGTAACTTTCCATGGGTACTGGAGCAGCCATGGGTGGGAGAGGCTGGAGGGAGTTTGCACAGATGCAGCTCTTTCCTCTTAGCTGCCTGCTCTGCAGCCACGAGGCTGCTTTAGATTTCCATTCACTTAGAAATTACTTTCTCACAGTTCTCTAATGATGCTATGTTGGAAAGTTAATCACAGTTTCATCTGTTCTCTGTTGCAGGGAGTCCTGTATGATTTGGATAAGGTACGTTACTCTCTTTGGCACTGTTTTTGCAAGGAAATGTTCATATCTGCAGAGTGCATCTAGTTGGTGTAGAAAACCTCTCTCAACCTGGTCTATTAACCACACTAACACCATTGAGGGAGAAGTTGCCCTGATGACTAGATAGTATTTTCCTCAGGGTTTACCAGGTTAAACTGGCACCATCAAGGGCACAAAGTAGGAAGCAGATCCATGCCAGTGCAGCAGGGGAGGCAGAGACCTCCTGTCTTGCCAGCTGCTCGCAAAAGGCTCAAGGAGCAGCTTTTCCTGGTGGGTTGCACACATCCAAACTGGACCCCAGGCAGGTTTGCAGAGGGGTTCAGGGAGAATTGGCCTCTCTCTGCTTCTGGGCTGCTCAGTGCTTTATAACCTAGGCATTCACGGAGGGGAGAGGGACAAATTCAGTAACGGAGTGAATCCAGCTAGAGGCAGGCTTGGGGTAGCTCTAGGCTAGGCCATCCTCGCTCAGCCCTGGCCCTGCCAGTCTGGGGAAGAACTAGCTGAAAATTTGAAAATATGTCCTCCCTGCTGGAAATCCTGGGTAAAACAAAAGAAAAGCTTTCAAAAAAACATTTTCTTAACAAGTCTGGCTTTCCTCATCAACATGCCAAACTTGTTTTTGTATTCAGAAACAGCTTACTAAGGAAAAAAATCGATGTTGAAACACAAAACCTGATGAATTTTAATACAGGTTTTCATATTACTGAAAATACTGTGTTTTGACCTAAAAATGCTAAGATTCCATTTCTTTTTCCAGAGTTGAAAAAGAGCATGGAATTTCTATCAAAGGAAGCTATTAAAAAGCAAGTGTTTTGTTTAAAAACATACTGGGTATAGACATCAGTGAGCTCCATTTTCACCAGCAGATTAATTGTAGCAAGATGAAACACCTGACTCCGGATGCACGGACAGTGCATCCAGACTCAGGGGGACCCGAAGACGGGAAAGCGGCTCCCGCGGGATGTCGTTCTGGTTTATTCCAACCTCACCCTCCACCTCTTTGTTTCCCCCAGCAAATCAAAGCAGTTGAGAGATACATGAGGCGGCTGGAGTTCCACATCAGCAAGGTGAGCAACAGCCCTGTCGTCTTTCTTCTGCACCTGCTCTTATGCTCTTAGGAAAGGAAACCCTCAGCTGTCCCTGCACACCAGCTAAGTCTCTCCTACACTCTGTGTTTTTATGGCAATGGCCTGGTGGGCAGAGACTGAGACATGCTTGTAGAACAGGCTGCACTCTCTGAGGTCCAGCATTTAGTTCTCCATGCCCTGAGACTCTCCCATGTGCCTTTAGATACCCAGAAATCATAGGGTCAGCCACTTGCTTGGAAAAAAAAATATTTCACAGCATGCTGGCTTTTAAGCTGTAGGTACATAGAGAGTTATAGCTAAAAATAATTTAATTCCACAAGTATCTTCATAATATATCACAGTTATATTGGAAGCACTCCTGGATTTCACTGCTAGCAGTTTTGCAGTGTGATTTGGGGTCCACATCCACTTGATCCCGTTGGTTAGAATCAGTCCGCACGATTCGGCAGAGGTACTTGCGACTTGCACTAATACATTTTAGTGTTGGACTGAACCCGTGGCGTGTATTCTCTGAGTTATAAACATATCTCCTAGAGATTAGTTACCTTTGTGAGCCTGACAAAAGAATGAATTATTTCTGATGGATGAAATGTCTCCCGAGAGCCATTTGAAAAGTGCTCATGCAGCGCGCGGTGCTCCAATTATGACAACCCATCCAAACCCTTTAATTTCAGCGTTCTCTTACTCGTGGAGCTGAAAAAACTCATCAAGCAAAAGGTTGAAATTTTCTCCCCCAAGCCGCTTTCTTCCTTGCTGGCAGTCTGAATGGCAAAATTATTGCTTAAAGAACATTTCTATTCAAGTCCTTCCCACTCCAGCCTGCTCAGAGCTCATGATTTCGGTGTTTATAATAGGAATGAAAAGCACCGAACGCAAGAGGTAATGCTGGTCAGTATTACTCAAGCTTCCCGAGTACGTTAGCTCATTTTTCGGTAACCCACAGCAACAGATACAAAGAGAATGGAGCTGTGCTGCACTAACGCCCCGCGGGCTTGGACAAGCCAAGAAGCATTTTTTGTTTCAAATGACGCGTTCGGCACCGAAAAAAAGCACAAGCCGGTGCCGAAGGGGAGCCGCGGCGACGCCTCCTGCTGCCTACCTGTTGTGGTGCCGCAGCGGGGAGGAGAGGACGCACCGCGAGTGCGGCGGCGGCTGGCGCAGGGCAGGTGGCTGCGCCACCCCGAGCGCCGCAGCCAAAGCCAAGAGGAAACTGCAGCAGTCGGCTTTAGTGTGAGGGATGGTGGCGGCTCCGAAGAGACACTGTAAGAGCCCACAGTGGTGGGTATGGCTCCGAGAAGCTCATTTTGTAACTGAAATGGCAAAATGCTACCTGTCCTTTCATGGCTTCATGACATCGCTTCTCAGCCTTTTGGCTAAGATAAAGTGTAGTGTAGTGTAGACTTTTTGGAGAGCTGTTTCACTTACAAGGCAGTTCCTGCTTTGGTTGAAGAGCCCTCGAATCAGTGGCTCCAACCGCTAGGCATCCAGGTTAGTCTTGTTGAACAGGCAGCAGGAAGCCTTCGGGAAGCGCAGTGCCCTCGCGAGCAGAGAGGCACCAGCACGCAGTGAGAGCAGGAGCAGTTGCTGAGACCAGCTCGACTAAGCCTTGTCCTGCCTTAGCAGCTGGGACAATAAAAGCAGAAATAAGAAGACAGCTTCTGTTCCTTTCCTCTGTCTCCTGCACACAGCAGGTATGTTTATACACATGGAGCTATATGACTGTGGAGCCCCACCAAACAACTCAGCTGGAGTAAATATATACATTCAGTGCAGGGCTTGGAAGGAAAAAGGCAATCAAAACATGAGATAATTTTAAATCCACTGCACACTGAAGCTAGACCTCGGTGAAGGTTTAACCTGCACGTGCTTAGCTCTTACTAAAGAGCACTTACTAAATTTGTGTGCCTCAGTCATGCTGAGGGACTCCCAGTTTCTAGAGGATGGGCAGAGAGAAGACAAACTTGCTCCCAGCATCACCTCCTCATCAGATAGTGCACGGTCTCCACCCCCTGCTTGCAGTCAGGGATACAGAAGATGCTGCTGGCACTCACGTTAAGCCAGCCATGGTCCCAGCTGGCAGCGTGGACGTTGCCGTTGCCTTTGAGAGGGCTCTGCCACCCCAGGGCATTTTAGAAGCTTGCTGCATTCCCCCACACTGTTACCATTCTACATATTGCACATCTGCGTTAAATGGTCACGGAGGAGAGTGGTTAAAGGTGTGGAGGAAAAGCAGGGGAATTGCAGACAGCCTCTCTTGCTGCTGTAGTAAAGGTTTTACAGTAGAAGTAATTCTTATGCTGCGTTTCTGTTTCACAGACTGCAGCAATATCACAGATTCATTTGCTCACCCCTCTGATGGGCCTAACAGTTTACCAGTTCTTTGGCTTGGTTTTCATATAATGCAAATGATTTCATTATTTGCTGGTTGGGTTTTATTTTGCCTTTTTTTTTTTGAAGTTTTTCCAAATGCCCTCATTGTTCCCACCAGGTGGATGAGCTTTATGAAGCCTACTGCATCCAAAGACGCCTCTGTGACGGTGCCAGCAAAATGAAGCAAGCTTTTGCCATGTCTCCTGCCAGCAAAGCAGCTCGGGAGAGCTTAACAGAGATCAATAGGAGTTACAAGGAGTACACAGAGGTACGTCCCCCACCCTTCGCTCTTTTCCTCATTGAAGGCCATAGAAACTTGGCCACTGATCCCATCCAGATAGGAGAATTAAGAACAAAAGTCAGTGAAGAACCACTGCTATTTATTTTTCCTCTCACACAAATACTTAACCATTCACAAAAGTGGGTGGTGCGGGCCCAGGGAGTTCCCTGAAATGACCGTGTTTACGCTCTGCAAGGCCACGGTTATCCTGGGGACTCCTGCTCAAGAACAGTAGTTTAGCTGTGCACCAAACCCACGTTTCCTCCACCAAGTCCTCCCCACCGCGCAGATTTTGGAAGGGCAGGCTGCCTGGGGGCCACATCTGCTAAATCCTATATCCTAACTATATCCTATATCGTAGCCAGCTCCGCTCATCCCGATCAGTGTCCGACCTCCTAAACGCTTAGGAGGTCGATTGGGAAGGACCTAGCACCACTGCATGGACCTATGCAGCACACGAGCTGTGGCAACCTGCCGCGACCTGAGGGAGGAGCTGCAGTCACCCCAGTACCCGTCTCCTGTAGAATTTTTCTTAATGCAGTCGGTGTTTCCTGCCGGACAGAATGCCCACTGAGCGGCGCTCCGGCCAGGAGCTCCCCCTGGCACCTGCCCCAGCCGGAGAGGGCAGAGGAGCAGGAGTCTCGGGGAGCAGCAGGGGCCACGGGGCGACGTTCAGCACGGTGGGAGCGGGCGCAGCTTAGCTGCGGTCTTCGGGGCCAGACCTAGCTAAACAGCAAGGATGGCTCCGGCATTTTGATTTCAACCCAAAATATCTTTCATCTGCATAATAGACTATTTTCTTTCTAAGTAGACCTTAAAAAACAGAAAGCAAAAGCTTTATCTGACTTCTTTTTTTTTCTCCTCCAACTCAGAACATGTGTACCATAGAAGCAGAGCTGGAAAACCTACTGGGGGAGTTTTGCATCAAGATGAAAGGTAACTGCTTTTCACCTCTCCCTTCCTCCTGCGTGAGAGAGAAACCTCTCTGTGCACATTACTGAGAGCATTGCACCATAATTTTAGGTATACTTAGGATAGGATTGGGCTTTCCCCCACCACTTACACCTATACTCAGTGGAAAAGATCACGTAGCTAGGAACATTGAGGTTGCACAGGGAGATTTTCTGAGATGATTCTTCTCATTTTGAAGGGAGAGGGGCTAATTAGGCTCCCTCTATCACTCCTCCCTTTAGCCTAAGCAATTTGGTTTCAAAGGCAGCTGTACCTTTTGCCTCTATTTCCATAACCCTTTAAGAAGATAACTAGCAAATTAAGTCAATGCCTGTGAAGCTGAAGTTCCAAATCCTTCCTTAATTTGACACCAGCTGTTTCTAAGTCCTTTGCTTTTGCTGACTCTGACTATTATCACTTCTGAGCAAATGTGAAAAAAGCAATGAACTCGGAGTAGTTTACCATTTAAACACCTATATAGCTCAGGGGTGGAATTCATCTTCCAGTTTTATTCCTTGAGTTTATAACAGAGGATTGGGGGTGGTTGACTATCATCGAAACAGTTTTACCTGAAGCCTACTTTAATGATGTAGATATACTTTAAGGCAAGTTTAGTGAATCCTTAGGTATTGTGAAAGTTTTTAACCCTTTAGGACTAAATATTTCAAAGAAAAGACTGAAGAGGGTAAGGGAACAGAAAAAGATCCCACAGTCATCATGATCTAAACATACATGTACTCTATATTCATAATTCTTCACTTGAAATCTTGCAAAGAGCCCACTAAGGCAAATGAAAACCAAAAAACTCTAATCCTGGACTGTGTGAGCTCACAACCCTCATACAGGGTCTCGCTTCCGTCTTCACCGCCAGCAGTGCGGCTGCCTTGTGCCCAAGGGCGGCAGGAGGCGGGACGCGATCTAGCTTGGATCAATCTCCGGTAGCTCCTTCCTCACCTCGCCGCAGAGGGACGGAGCTCGGCCCGCTCTCCCGAGCCCAACCACAGCTCCGTCCCTCGGGCTTCAGAGCTCATCGCTGCTGCAAGGGCAGTCAAGGATGCATAGGTGTAAGTCAAAGTCACCGCACAGAGAAAGGGCCACCCGCTTCTACGCAGCGACTTACAACGAAGCTGCCGCGTGGGCGCACCGAGGCCGACACGAGGCCCCTCGGCGCGGGAAGGAAATTGCGGCAGGCCGCATCCTAGGAGCGGGTCCTTGTTTCTTGTAAGCGAGGGGCACGTGTTCAGCTTGCGACAGCACAGGTTGCAGCAGACACCACAGTATCGTACCCGCAACAAGGATAAAACATGTCGTCCCCGCTCTGTGGTAGGTCAAAATCCTCCTGCAGGGCTCGGGGGCCCTCGAGAAGCCACACACTGCCTGCCACGTGCAAGAGCAGGGAACAGGCAGACACCTGCTTTGAAATACTGTTGTTGTAACACACAGGAACCCCAGAAAGCAACAGCCAAAGAGAAAGGCCTTATCGCTGGGCATTCTTTAATTAAGACATTTGAGATTGTCATCTAGATATTTTTTCTCATGAATCTTTGACCCCGCTGCCGACATGGCTAACGCTCACAGAGCAGCTCCAGCGTTAAGCGGGCGCCAAGCTGCTCTCCTACGTTACCTGCAGCAAATCCAGCTAACCCTAGGACCTGCTGGTGCAACCCACGTTCTCCTCTCCCAGCACTGATCTGCTCCTAGTCATTCCAGCACTAGTTATTTTATATTTTATATCCTGTCATTTTCACTAAAAGCAAGCCAGCCTACACAGTGCTGTCAGGAAGTAAAGGGCCCACGCTGTGTTTTTATGATTGATATTGTTAAAAAAAGAGCACCCTAATTTTGGAAGCCCCTGTATGGGACCTGCATTTCCTGTTGTGGCGCACAGAGGAACAGCCCGTGCGTATCTGAAGTGCAGGAACAGAGCAAGGGAAGGCGCCAAGCTCTTTCAAGCAGGTAGAGCCTGATGTTAGCCGTATACAGGACGCTCATGCTGTACGTTCAGCCCAGCTGAAGAGCCATGCAGTTATCCAAGAGCTGTTTCCTGCAGAAACCCTCATCATGGGGCTAAAGAGCTCAAGGCAGAGCCGAGCATTGTTCCCAGATTTACAGCCCCCACCGCTTCCTCGCATCCCCTTGCCCAACCTCTGTGTACTCAGACCAGACGCTTCTCACTGATCTTGATCCAGGGCAGCGTGCACGTGTTTCTGAACCTTGTTTTCAACCCCCCCATCCACCGGGCAGAGAAAGGGCCTTTTATTTTCCTCAGATACTCTCAGTGAGGTGTCTCAGGGGAGATCAAATTCCCTAATAAAAGGATGCCTAGGGAGGGAGAAGCAGCAGTGGAGTGCTAGTAAGTTTAAATTATTTATAAACAGTAAATAAATTAGAAAGGAATTGGTAATACGAGCTTTGAGCAAGGACCTCTTTGTTCTGCAAAGCTGCAAGAGGAGCGAAGAAAACACTGGTTTGGATCAAAGAAAGAGATCAGCAGATCACAGCGACAGGCCGTGGCTGCATGAGGAATCCGGGTGATCCAACAGCCCTCGTAGTGGGTCTGATTTAGTTCGATAAGTAAAGCCAACCTGCGCAGATTTTAACCCACCTATGCACTAGGCCAAGGCATTTCATGATGAAAACAGTAATACCCCCAGAAAGAACACAGTGAATTTTCAGCCCTGTGGAGAACGAGGACAGGGTTACTGAAAAGCCACCTACCGGATGTGACGGGGCCTCGCAGGGACAGGGATGGCGATGTCTCCGAGGGCTCCGCTCAGTCCCAGCCTCCTGCAGCTCCCCACTTCACATACATGCTATTGAGAGGGAAACAGCATCACCACGTCACCCCTTACAAAAAAAAAAAAAAAAAAAAATCGAGCAAACGCACACCCAAACTGGTATTTACTACTCCCCATATCAGCCATGTTTCCTAACGCGCTTTCTGTTGAAAGGCACTCCAATACCGTGGGAAGGAGCACGATGTGGAGGCACCAGGCAGGAGGAGGCTCCTCGCTTGCCCGGTCTCTGCCAAGCAGCCCCGTGTTGCACTTTGCAGCTCCGCGCAGTTAGTGTTAACTCAGTGTTAAGCATTAACCACCAACAGCCCTACCTCTCACGGCAGCGAGCGCAGTCTCCAGAGGCAGACGATGCTATTGAAAGAACCACAAGTCTTTTTTTTTTTTAAGTCATTTTATAGAGACTTATATATAGCTCTTGAGCCACTAGGGAATGGCTGGAAAAACGTAAATTTTTGAGATTCAGGAAACCAGGAGGCAATGAACTTGCAGACAGAAGATGTTTTTAGACCAGTTATGATCTGTGGGTGGTAGGAGGGAAACAGTCTTGGTTTCTGAAGGTCTGAGGATGACTATACCCGTGTTTTCTGCAAGAAGAAACAAGGGTAGAATGGCAAGGGGGGGTTAAGGGAAATATGCCACTCTGAGGCTGTGGGGCGTCCTGTGGCAGGGCACTGCTGCCCTCTGCCGCCAGCCAGGGCCCTTCTCAGCATCTCCCTGTGTCCTTCCTCCTCAGGTCTGGCCGGCTTCGCTCGCCTGTGTCCAGGAGATCAATACGAGGTAGGTCTGGGGTCGGCTTTCAGTTGGATTTAACAGGCAAAGAAAATAAATAAATAAATAAATAAATAAAGTTCTCCATTTTGCTAATAGCTATGGTTAAAGCTCATTAGCATCAACACTCCAGGAAATAGATATTGTTTCCCCTGTATGTTCTGTGAAGAACCTGCTCTTCTCTGTATATCTGCCTGTATTGGGACATATGTCTCAAGACACTAAAATTACAGATGGCAGTTATTCAGAGAATTACAAGCTTTTAAATATATATATTATGTATATTTAGCTGTGTTCTAGGAGGGCATGCTTCTGTCCTATTCTTGTCAGGCATTTCCACTTCCGCTGAGGAAATGCATCTCCTGCCTCTAGGGATGGAACAAATTTCTGGACACCCAGGCTTTGCTTCATCCTCAAGGGGAATAGCAGAAGGACAGGAAATAACCACTTCTGGAGATGCAGATGTCTCACACCGTGCAGTTGTGCCACTGCCTAAGGTCACTGCCCTGCCACAGTGGGAAACAGCAAGAACAGATTGATTAGACAGGGACTAAAATAAAGAACATGTGTTCTGGCTCATGGGGAAGCAGGAGGGCAGCACCACTGCGTTCCTGCGACTCATTTCTGACCCTTTCCAGCATCCGTGTATTGAGAAAGCAGGTTTGGCAAGAACATAAACGGACTTTTCTTTCTCAGATTTTCATGCGTTACGGTCGCCAGCGATGGAAACTGAAAGGCAAAATAGAGGTGAACGGCAAGCAGAGCTGGGACGGAGAGGAGATGGTTTTCCTCCCGCTCATCGTTGGGCTGATCTCCATCAAGGTGAGGCGGGGCGGGAGTTGGGATGTTGCCTTTGGGCACACTGTGCGAGCCACAGCTCATTTCCAACACACGTGCTGGGGCCAGCACCGCCACATCGCCCGTGCTGTGGGGCTGGGACCCTGTGGGACCCCCACAGGAGGCCGGGCCTGTCTCCCCTCCGAGGGCGTCGCGGCCTTGGCCAGCAACGTTTCTCCTCAGCTACCAAGGTGTTCTGCAGCCAAGTGCAACAGCCCTGGCAACCTGCTTGCAAAGGCAAAAGTGAAAACTAACCCCAAACAAAATACTCGTTCCTAATGAGTCTGGTGTCACTACTCAGATGAGAGAGCAGTATCTATTAAGCTGGAGAACCACAGAGGCCTTTTATTTAAATGCACGTATGAGGCAGCTGGGCATAAGCTGGAAGAGCGCAGGGATGCAGCAGAGCATCCTCCACCGGGCTGCGCCGCTAAGTTTCTGCTTGTGAGATGGGAGCCTTAAAGGGAGCCACTGCGACTCTTGCAGCTTGCTATAGCACAGCATTTCCCAAAACTTCTTAATGCCTCTTCTGCCCTGTCCCAAATGTAGGGAACAGCAGCAGCAGCTCTGGGCAGTCAGAAGCAGGCCCTGCTCCCCACCGCCGCTCCGTTTCCTGGGGCCTCTCCGTACAGCTCTCTCCCGGCCGAGAGGCACATGCTTTCCTACTAACGTACTTCCAGTCCGAATATGCCTGTTCCCTGACCCCCCTCTGGAAATTGCCACTGATTATAGGCCAAGCATCCCTGTTTAGGCAGTTTAAACAAGAGAGCATCTTAGGAGCCTCAAGAGGGGCATCCTGATTAAATACTGCAATTCTTTCATACCCACAAACACAAGAGGGAGTGACATCGAAACTGCCAACAAAATAACCCTGTGAACATACAAGACAGTAAACTTTTATCAGAAGTCAAGTTGTGACATGCAGCGAGCTGCTCTCCTGAATCTAATGAGATGGTTGATTAAGTGGGAGTCAGGAAAGAGCCCTTTCTTTTAGAAAGGGTTACAAACACATTAAGGTTATGACATATGTTCTCCCCCCCTGTGGCCTCTCTGCAAACGCTTGCACTGAAAGATCCAAGAACTGACTTTCAAGCAAATAGCCAAAGGTGTGTTTGTGTATGGGAGTTACATACGTAACTTACACATAAATTCATCCAAAATCTCAAAAGGACAGTTTTGACAGTCACATATTTTGCTGTTTCTATAATAACACATATGCAGGTGGTTTTGCATTAGTGGATCTGTGGAGATCCTCAAGGGCCATTACAAATGCAAACAGTTAAACAGGTACAGAGTTACATGGGACAAGCACATGGAAGAGAGCTCTCTCAGGAGTTACTAAGCAGACAAACTACATCAGGAAACACCCCAACATGAAAATAATCAGTGGCTGAAAGTCAAATATCTCCCCCCATTCTTACTCTTCCTTTGGAGTCTACTTTAAGTCCCTGCAAAAAATCAAGTTCAAGGCTAGATAGAGCCTTAGTCTAAGCCAGTATAGTTGTTTTCTTCTGACATACCTAAGACCACCAACAAAACATAGAAATTATCCCTTCATTTTATAAGCAAGTTTATGACACTATGCATGTGCTTAAAAAATACTGAGATACAGCAGGCACAATTGTATTTTGTAATCTTTTAGCAGGAAAACAAATCAAAACCATTGATCTGTAATTAAGAATTGCAGTACCTTGCATAGTGCTGTAAATAATCCCTTTTTCTCTTACAGGTCACAGAAGTTAAAGGACTTGCTACTCACATCCTTGTAGGAAGTGTTACTTGTGAAACTAAGGACCTGTTTGCAGCTCGACCCCAGGTGGTTGCAGTAGACATTAATGACCTCGGCACAATAAAGCTGAACCTTGAAATCACCTGGTAGTAAGTAAAACTGGCTGCTTGGGTGCTTGCTTATCTATCTATCTATCTATCTATCTATCTATCTATCTATCTATCTATCTATCTATCTATCTATTAATTAGTGTTTTAACTAACAGAAAAAGTCGATGTGGCCTCTACTTTTTTGTTTCTTGATGAGGCAGATGAGGCAGGAATGGTGGCCTCAGTTTGGGGGACTAAGAATAGTTTATGCTCTGCCCCAAGCTCCCTGTGTTATCTGTGGCAGATTCGTTTGCACCGGGTTTCTTTAGCTGCTATAATAGGGATAGTGAGCATTAGAAGGCATATGAAGTAGATGGTGTTGAGAGATTATATAATTGCCTAATATACATACTTCCTCTGCAAACTCAATAGAGGAATAAGATTGAGCCCTCATATATTTATTAAAGTGTTTAATGTTGGGGTAGAATCCAGTGGAGACACTCTGGATTTATGTTCAAATAGCTAACATCAAAATTTGTCCTGGATTTAAAAGCCAGCTTCTATAGACTTGATACAGGGCTTCAGGAGGAAGGAAAATCTCTTAGTGTTGCCTGTTTGCAGCAATAAGCACAGGCTGATAAGTGTGATGATTCATACCCAATACCCATAGCTATTTAATCAAGTAACTGTCATTCCTTAAAGAAGCATTGAACCTTATAAGTTTTACAGTTGTTTATGTTATTTTGTATAATGCAATAAATGTAGATCTAGCACTAACAGCTACTAACTTCCTTTATAATGTGACAACACTAATAATGGCAGAGCACTTTTCTCATTATTATACATGACAGTTGTCAACTCAAATCCAAGAATATTCTTCATGTGATAAGAGTTGCATCAGACTATGATACATAAATGATTTCTTAGAGTAGCACACTTTTATCAGAAATGAAAACACACCTCTGAGCATGTTGTCTAATCAACAACCTTTTCTTTAAAACACTTCAGGAAAAGAACCATTACCTCTTGTTTTTGATGTGCTAATAAAGTGCCTTTTCAAAAATCTCTTCCATGGATCTGGAATTCCTTTCGATTCAGCCTAACAACATCTTTTTTTTCCTGCTTGTGTCTGCAGCCCATTTGATGTTGAAGACTTGACCCCCTCTGCAGGAAATGTGAGCAAGGCCTCTGCTCTCCAAAGAAGAATGTCCATGTACAGCCAAGGCACTCCAGAGACACCCACCTTCAAGGAGCACTCGTTCTTTGTAAGCTCTCTTCGGCTCTGTGTTTTTGTAATGGGAAACCCTAGCACCGTTCAAACACAGCAAACACTTCACTGCTTTACACGTATAAGCTTTTCTCTCAGCAGAATACCCTTAACAAATACTTATAAGTGCATTGCCAGCTGTTAATCCTGAAAGAAGGTGACAAGGATCCTGTACTCTTTAAAATGTTATATTGCCAATTACTTCATACTTAAAGTTCTCACTTCACTGCTGTAATACTTGCATAATCTTTATAAAATACATGTTCACATTGTAACAGCAGTTAAGCAACCATTACAGCAGCATTATTTTTAATTTATCCCATGATAACATTTGCCCTTACTGTGAAGATGTGCCCAAGGTACTCGTGCATTTTGCATGAATCAGATTCTGAAGGCTTAATCAGGGCTATGGTGTGAGCTGAATGGATCGTCTGCACAGATAATGAATTTTACCTACAGGTGCTACATCTCAAGCATGTCATTTAAGTATTTAGTGCAAAGCAATTAACTTGCCCTTTCTCACACCGTTTTTGCTGTAATCATGGAATAAAGGGCGCCATCCTCTGCAAGAGAGGCCAAAGCTGTCAATCTTAGATGCTCTGCAAGACACTTTCTTTGACAAGCTTCGGCGCAGTCGCTCTTTCAGTGACCTGCCATCGCTCAGGCTAAGGCCCAAGGCAGGCCTAGAGCTTTATGTGAGTCCTGGTCTTCGTTTGGTGAAGGTGTTTGTTGATCCCCATGCATGTGCTTTACCATGCATGCTGCCTGTGGTGCTCTCTGTTGCAACTTGGTGATTTTGCTGATGGATTAAAGAAAAGAGGATGACTGTAGGCACATACTGCCTACATTAAAGCAAGGTTCCTCCTCCTTTCTATGGGGGTTTTGATCAGAAGCCAAGTATCTGTGGGTGAAGAGCAGGACAGGAATACAAGCCAAATTGCTAAAAAATGGCCTGCTACGCTGATAGATGTTCTACATTTGCCCAGTAATAAGACATTGAATGGTAAAAGAAAGCAAAAAGCAGACTCATTTCGGGGGGAAAAAAAGAATGAATCTTTGAACACGCTTATGGTTAGGGAAAAAAGCTGCTAATAGTGCTGGGGAAAAAAAAAGGATGCACGTTTTGGACACTTGAACCTTATGAACCTTGCCAAGGTATGAATGCCTCCAGTTGCTTCCAGCAAATTGTCAGCAAAATAGTAGTTGCCTTTCATCTGGGCTGTATGTTTGCATGAGTGTGCCACATAGCAAAGGCTAAAAGTTACTTCAGAACCCAGCTGTGTGAAATTGCAGGCTTTGATGTATCACATTCTGGCTCCAGAGAGAGTCTGATATTTCCCATCCTTATTGCTTTTTCTCAATTTTAAAAATTGCCTAAAATAATACTTGTACTACAACTCTGGGGTTGTTCAAACTTGGTAACAGGGAAGAAGTCATCAGGCAGATTCTCATACAGTCCAGTGTGTAGTCAGAAATTATACAAAATAGTCTATTAAAGCAAAATCTATTGGGCTGATCATCACGGTAGGTTGCGACTCCTGCAGTGAGTTTTCCGCATACACTGTTCAGGGATATGAACATATATAAAAGATAAGTTTGATCAGTTTGGGTCTCTGTAAACTCTCTCTATTTTCTGGATGATCAGTGTCCTGGTAACACACAACCCCACATATTCTTCTGTTTTATTTCAGAAGGAAACTCATGAGCTCTGTGTAACTCATGTTCTACAATTATTAGAGTTATGCCATATGTAGGAAATACTTGCAACAGAAAAGAAACAGCATGGTGATCTAATCACTAAAATCCTATAATTATAAAGAAACTAATGGAGGAACCTGTTTTACATTTTAGGGATTGCTACTTTAGAAGTTAGAAAATAATACCATGGAAATTTATAATGGGTACAAAAATGCATACAAGGTAGCTTAAACACAACCCCTTTAAAAGGATACATCCATCAGGAAATGAAACAGCGGAGTGGAATTGTTGGCTGAGTCAATCTGTTAAGACATGCAGTTCTGGGATCTTTGTTTTGGGGATACACTTCCTAGAGCTCCCTAGCCTACCCTGCCCCCAAAGAGATGATGAGAACAAGATTTCCCATCCTTCCGGAGCAGGCAAAAACTTCCACTGGAATCAGGAGTTGTGCCAACTGAAAGCAAAAGTTGGATTTGAGATACATTTCCCATTTCTCAAGTTCTGAGGGTTTAATTTCTTTCTTTGCATTTTTCCTTCCCAGCCACAAACTTACTTTCTTCTCTTTCTAGTGTTACACGGAAAACATGTTTTCTATTTTAACAAGTTTCTGCTATTTTTTCAGACGAATTTGCCAGATGATGTCTTTGAAAATGGAACAGCAACCACTGAGAAGCGGCCTCTTTCCTTCACTTTTGGCGACCTGCCTTACGAAGGCCGCTCGTCCCCCGCCAACTCAGCAGAGTCCCCTTCTGCTCAGGTCAGCTCCAGCCCTGATATCACCGTTACCCCCGCGCAGCACCCAGCTCTCAAGTCCTCCAAAAGCTCCAGCCTGGACTGTAGCAGCACTGACTCCTCCTGCAGAGACTCAGTCTCTGAACCCCAGGACCCCAAGTCCCAGGGAGAGGGAGCAGTGATCGAGAACAAGGCAGCTCCACGGGCAGCTTCTGATTGCCAAAAACCCTCTGCCGCTGGGAGCGACCGTGTCTTCATAGAGACAAGCGTCCCGGTGTCCCTGCTGCAGGACACGGATGAGGGCTCCGAGCTAAAGCCGGTGGAGCTGGATACCTACGAGGGCAACATCACAAAGCAGCTGGTGAAAAGGCTCACGTCGGCAGAGGGCCCCATGACCCCGGAGAGGTTGCTGTGCGAGGGATCGATAAGCGGAGAGTCGGAAGGGTATAAGTCTTATCTCGATGGAAGTATAGAAGAAGCCTTTCAAGGGCTGCTCTTGGCTCTTGAGCCGCATAAAGAGCAGTATAAAGAGTTTCAGGAGCTGGACCAAGAAGTGATGCATCTGGATGACATCCTAAAAGTGAGTATGTTTTCAGAAAATACTACCCTAAAGAAAATCTGAGGGGATAGAATCTCTTCCCTTTCATCGCAAACATCAAAGCAGAGATTTGAGAAACCAGTAAAATGCCTCAGTAGCAACAGATTTGTTCCTGCCCAGAGCATCTTTTCCCAGTGTTGCTTTTTCCATTTTTGTCTGCAATATGCTTACCACAACCTTACACCTGAAGCAATGGATCTATCAAACTACTTGGCACCCGGGAGAAACAGAAAAAGAAAGCACAGAAAAGCAGAAAGTAGAGAAAAAGAAAGTAATCAAAGTCTATCCAGAATCATTGTGAATCCATTGCTTGTGCCAAGCAGGAGATCAGACTACAGCCAACCCTCTGCCTTTAAAACCTGTGACCACATCTTCAGTGGGTGTACGTGGGGTGCCACCACTGAACCCCGCTGAGCTGCGCAGGGCTACACCAGCTGAGAAGCAGGCTGTGTAGCCAGAGAAGCTCAATTTTCTAAATAGCCAAAGTAATTGGCTATTAGCCCAAGGCTCAACGAAAGTTGCCATTCCCACATCACCTGGCTTTTTCCAAGCTTTTTCCTTGATTCCCCATAATTTTTTAAATGTTAGACATCCTGTTATCACACCAGGATGGACAGAGCATGTTTTTCAATTAGAAAGGAGAAAAGGGTTTTGCATGTGTGTTGTTAATATGTTTACTGACAACTGCGACTTATATTTGCCAGACATATATTTGACAATATCTCATGATGCATTGCTGTGCGGAGTATTATAATGGAAAATATTCATTTCAAATGCTTCATATTCATATGCGGGTTGGCCTGCTAGTCATTTAAGCCTCACTATTTAAATACACAGCTGAAAAGAAAGAAGGAAGCATTTATCCTTCTGTATTACCTTTGTCTTTAACTTGGTTAATACCTTTGTTTCCTTCAGTGTTTGCAGCAGCATGGTATTTCCCCAAGTTAAATACTTTTTAACAGTCCCTGTTCCTTGCACTATATCCCAAGTTGATTCAGGCAGGCTGGATCTAGTACTACTGTGGGAAGGGAAAATGGGAAGCCCCTGCACTGCAGGTTGCTTTTGCCCAAAGAAGCTGCACTGCTGGCCCTGAAAGGAACAGTAGCTAAAAGTATCCTTACTGCAAGGAGAGGAGGATGGCAGCCCTACCAGTGTCACAGGGATGTTGGGAAGTGTTGGATCAGTTAATGACTGCACAGACATTTTAAGGTGTAAAACATCACAAATGCTAACATATGGAAATTACAGATGTACGAATGAATTAGGAACAAACCTCCATGCCTCCCCAAGGTCTAGAAGAGCTCACGTCTGGCCTTGAGCGTGAACTTGGATGCCAAGTCGTTTCCTTCCACGAGCCGAGACAAAGTCCTGACTCTTGCCCAGGACTCGCAGGTTTGCTCTGGAACTGCACCTGTGGCTCCCGGCTGCTTTGATCACACAGCGCCAGAGGTGCACAAGTCCTTGCACAACCCATGGAGGTGATCCCTCGAGGAACTGATTTGGCATCCGACCCTGCAAGGGGACCCCGAGAGCAGCTCTGTGGGCGAGGGATGGCCACGTGGGGGCAAGGCCTTTGACACTCCTCACAGCGAGAGCAAGGCCCAGCCACGCACCCTCTCGCTGCACTGCAGTGCGAGGGGATCCCTCTCGCTAGCACTGCTACTTCCCAAGTTACCGTATTGCTGCCGCTTCTTGCTCAGGAATCTCTCTGCTGATGCATGATTGGCTTTTCCTTAATTATCCCGGGTAACACGTGGCTTCAAAGCCCACAAAAGTTTTCTCGTAACGTGCACTACCCTGTGGACACGGGATCCGATGCAATCCTGGCTAAGCTCCACTGGAGTTCCACCAGGAATAAATCTGAGAGTGTGACTGCATACATGCACCCAAGCTTCTGTACCTGTAGTAGCAACTATGGGACGTGCCTTCCCTTTCCAACTGCCAGGGCCTTCAATTGCCACTTCTCCTTCTGGAGGCTGGTGAACGCTGTGTCGCTTGGATTCAAGGTGTATTTCTCCTTTCTATAAAACATACTGGATTTTACCTCTGAGGGTTTTGTGGAGGGAGGGAAGGGGTTGGGGAGGAAGAAGGGAAGGGTTTTTCAGTTTGCAGACACTGATTGTATATGCTATGAATATGAAGATTTGAAATGAAACGCTCAATAAAATGAAATTTTGAAAATAAAATGAAGAGTTTGAAAGTTTTAAGCTTTATCTTTTTTTTTTCCTTTCTCTCAGTAGTAGATAATATTTGGGGTTTTCATTGGTTCGTTCTGCCTTTGCAGTGCAAGCCAGCAGTAAACCGAAGCAGGTCCTCCAGTTTAAGTCTAACAGTTGAAAGTGCTTTAGAAAGCTTTGATTTCCTGAACACCTCTGACTTTGATGATGAGGATGGTGGTGGTGAGGAGGTTTGTAATGGTGGAGGAGGTGCAGACTCAGTATTTTCAGATACTGAGATTGAGAAGAATAGGTAAGTTCGTAGCAACTGCCAGCTGTGCTTAAGCAAAACTGATATCCTAGCTCTTTGTCACTAACAGGGGACCCTGGTGCACACATTATTCAAGGAAGACTAAACTAAATCCTGCAGGAGATTATAAGGTTAGAGGGTTTCTGTGGCTGCTGCATACAAAATCTTTAGCTCCCAGGACATTTTTTTCCTGTTCAAATGCGTACAATCTCTCCCCGAAAAGAGAAGGGTAAATTAAATTAACCAGACACCAGTCCTGGCAGAGCCTCTTCCTTGATATAGGTTTGGACCTGGCTTTCCTTGCTTTGGATGTAATTACTAATTCCTCTGTGGTTTTTCCCCCCTCCCCTTGTCTTTTCTCTCTAGCCGAATGAGTCTTTGCAGTGGATTAAGCTTGTCAGTAACAATAACACAGGGCCAGATTTAAGCAGCATGGTGTAGGTTTCCTTTGGAATGTAAGAGTGATGACTGGTACTCTGTTCATGGCCCTGCGTGTTACGTGCCCTTTTTTTTCCATCACTTTTGGTCTTTCTGAGAAAAACAACAACAATAACCACCCCACCCCCAAACCTGTTTTGTTTGTGCTGTGTCTGTGACTGTCGTGGGAGCGGAAGACGCTGTGTTTCAATCATTAGATCCTAAGAGCATCCCGCGCGCCCCGCAAGGGCCCTCTGCCCTTCGCCGCTCATCGTGGCCAGCTTGAAAGGATTTCGAGTACAAACAAGCGAGCACCATTTGATTTCCACCATCTCACTGCATATTCTCTTCCTAGATTAAGACTTGGTGGGAAGAGAAACTTGGAAAATTATGTGGCTTGCTAAACTGACACTTTTAACTCAAACTGCATTGGTTTAAGGGCACAAATTTAAGCTGGCTTTTCCCCTACAGTTCATCCCTAGACAGCACAGATTCCTGCTTCCAATTTTTGATGTGTGTGTGACTCAGTGAAACGCTGCAAGTGCTGGAACCTCGGCTTGCAGCTGGATACACCTGCTTTCCAGGGAGCGGGCCTGGGCTTTGCACCCTGGCCTAGGGAGGACCATTTGTACAAGACAAAGCTGGAAATAATGATTTAAAACACAGCGAGAATAGCTTTACGCTCTTACAGAAACTACTGGCAAACTAAGCCGTTCATATTGTGCCTAAAACAGCATATGAAAACATCATGTCTCTCACTCCAGCAGTGGTTTTCCTTTCCTTTTACACTGTGCATTGAATTTGGCACCAGGAGAATGGATTTGTTCCTAACAGCTTAATGCTTGAGGGCACAAACTGTAATGCTGCTTAATCCAGGCCAATTTGGGAAATAATTTATCTACAAATGGAAGAAAACACTTTCACTACCAAGCAATAATAACTGCAGGTTGGAAAGACTTGCTGGTGAGAGTACTGCCTTGGTCAAGGCAAACAAATCAGGGCACCATGGAAGAAATTTGTCCTCTCCGTGCAGGTACCTGTTCTGCACTGAGTTCGGGATCACACTGCGAGTTTGTGATATGATGTATTCATTAGAAGGGCTCTGGCTTACCAAGGGCTGTTTGGTTGCAGATTGCTGCTTTCAGCAGTTCTCCCTGTGCTTGTTGCTCGTCCCTCTGCGTGAACGTGTGTTTCTGTCTGCTGAGGAGGCGCTCAGCCCTTCACTGACCTCCCTCCCTTAACAGTTACAGGCCAGAGCACCCCGAGGCCAGAGGCCACCTCAGTGAAGCCCTCACCGAAGACACGGGCGTCGGGACCAGCGTTGCTGGCAGTCCTCTTCCACTGACCACGGGCAACGACAGCCTCGACATTACCATAGTTAAGCACTTGCAGTACTGCACGCAGCTCATCCAGGTACCCGGCCCAGCTCTTTCTGGGAGTGCGTTTCTGATCGTTCCTTCGGGCACAGGGTGCGAGCTGGCTGCAGCGTTAGCCTTGCTCCTGGGAGGCAGCTGTGGGCACCGCTGTGAAAACCGCTCCCAAAGCTGCCCCAGTGACACCCCTCATCCCAACACGGGAAAGGAAAAGCCTCTATCATCTCAGTCCTCCTGGTCCACCTCAGAAGAGAGCGGACATACAAACTACCAGGCATTTTTGAGATGCTGCACAGTAGGAATGACAGGCAACTTGCCAGACCCACTTCCCACATGGATCATCCAGGGATTTCACCAGGGGAAACTCAATGAGAGCAGTTTCCCTGTTAAGCCAACTCATGTCTTCAGAGCTAAAGTGGAGCCCGTGGCTCCACTATTTACGCTAGTAGAGCCCAAGACAGTGATATTTAAAAGCAAAAAAAAGTATTTCTGTGTATGAAGAGGAGAAGGATCCCCACTTCAAACTGTCTGTAAATAAACACAGTGGATGCATGACAGTTATCTCTGGGATGTCAAAATTGCCTGTCCACAGTCAGCACCTGACTAGCACAACCCTTGAGCAGGATTTTTCAGAGCCTAAGCACAACAAATGTGGTTCTAGATCCATAACCAGCAGTCTGACTTTCCAGTGCTAGATATAATTCCTATTTATTTCCAAAGGCCCCACTGAAGCAATGCGAAGTGATCTTGGTTTCTGCACCCTTAGTGCTTAGTTAGACACTGCTGCATCACAAGTATGACAAGAGGGCTTTGGCTTAAATAAAAGTAAACAATAAATATACAATCAGGAGAGACAGAGTGGAAGTCTGTGTCTACCACTGAGCTGATTTGATGGGAATAAAGCAGACGTCTGAAAGCAATGCAGGTCTCCGCAGGAGGAAATGTTAGCATGGGAAAAGCACCAGATTAATAAAGGCACCTGGGTAGTTGATGAGATGTGAAACAGAGCAGAAAAAGAGTGATTTATGGTCCACTTGCTGGCAGAAATGTTCTGAAATGCTGTGGCCTATTATGCAAAAATCAAACTAAATATTTTCTGGCCTTAAGATTGAGCACATAAATTAGAAATAACTTATGCAAATGGCTACACTTGGATACTTAACTGCCTGCAACTGGCTGAAGATACTAAAAATATAAGCAATAATGCTTATAAACTGGGACCGTAAAATAGAGAGACAAAAGAGAGAGCTTCCAGGTGATGAATTTGCCATTACACTTTGTCAGGTGCCAGGGTTTTGGGAAGGATTTTTGAATTTTTCCAGTTGAGTAACTCCTCTTTTTTTTTTTTTTTCCCTCTCTTCCCACTTGTTTTCATCAGCAAATTGTGTTCTCGAGTAAAACACCATTTGTAGCAAGAGACCTCCTGGATAAGCTATCCAGAGAGATCCTTGTGATGGAGAATATTGCGGAGATCAGCACTGAGAACCTGGGCAACCTCACCTCCCTGACTGATGGTAAGAGACAAGTTAGGGGCTTTCCTTCTAACATGGGCTGCTCTGGATACGGGTATCGGGAACTCCTCCCGCTGCACAGGGTGCACCATGACCACCCGCAGGAAATTCATACATCAGCTGGTCAGTAGCCTTGCTGTAGCCTGACCACTGGTATCCAGGAATAAAGAAGGTAGAAGAGAAAGGAGTATACACATCCTTGTCCTGCTTGATGTGCAGCAGATGGACAAAACTGCTGCAGAGGGGAGGGGATGCTGCCACTCCGAAAGAGCCCAGTCCTCTCTCCACCTCTCTTGGTGGAAGCTGTCTTACAGCACCTGATGGTAATACAGCTCTGAGTGGTTTACCTAGAAGACTGTTTTCAGTCATTTCTATGAAGAACGGTTTGTATGGCATTTGTTGCATGAACTTTCATACCTTGGATGACGTTAACATATACTTAGTTAGTCATCTATGTATCTATGTGAGCACTCTGGCAAGACAGGTATGACCACCTTGTTTTTTTTTTTTTTTTTAAATCAAAAAAGAGAGGCCAAGTTGAGTGAGCTACCCAAACAAACAGTGCTAGGACAAGGATCAGCTCCCAGGCCCCAGCCCTGTGTTCAGACCATTTGCTACATTCTCTTAATGCTTCATGGCATTTAAAAGAATGAGACATCAGCACCCTGAACTGGATCAGGGACAAATTTTCTCTCACCCTACTGTGGCAAAAGGAAGCAACCCATTACAAATGTGGGGCCGTGCACTGTGAAATTAATGACAGGGCAAACTACCAAACGAACCCATCCATTAGTGAGGTCAGCAGCCCTCCACACTTCAGATTTTTAGGAACACAAAGTTTTCAGCATGGCTCTCTTTCACCATTCATTTTGTCCTCTCCTCCAGCAATTCCAGAGTTTCACAAGAAGCTCTCACTACTGGCTTTCTGGACAAAATGTACTGGTCCTTCAGGAGTGTATCATACATCTGCAGACAAGATGATGAAGCAGCTGGATATCAATTTTGCCACCACTGTGAATGAAGAATGCCCAGGACTTGCAGAAACAGGTACCAACTGCTGCAAAAATATATCTACCTATCATCAGAACGGAGACGAATTTGGTATATTTGCTTTCTACCAGGCTTTACTTGATTCGGGTTGCTTTTTCCAATCCCATGGAGGTCTATTTGGATGCAGCTCCACAATTTCACCTGAAAAATCCAACAGTTCTTTAAACAATTTGGGCCCAAAATAATTAGATTGGAATAGAATGAGAGGTCAGCAGCAGAAAAAAAATAAAATTATATATATTTTTAACATTTATGAAATAATCGGAAAGTAAATTCTGTGTCTAAGCAAGACAATTGGGCTGTGCATGTGGATATGTGTTTAGGGATTCCCTGTACCACGTGGTTAGGGAGGACACTGTATTGGAGAAGAAGCTGCAAGATCAGCTTTCATTTCTCAGTGCAGCCTGGAAGGAGCACAGCGTAACTGGGGCCTCCTGTTGCCTGTGAACTGGCCGAAGTCAGTCCTTAGCTCATGATGATATCCTCTGGGGATGAGAGCTGGACAGAGAGAAAGTAGCTGTGCCCATAGCTGAGATTAGAAATGCTGGGAGGTATCTGGCTTGGAAAATATAGTTCTTTCTTTTGAACTTTGAAATGGACTGTGGGATTTAGCCACCAGCTTTTGTTCTAATATGTCCTTGTGTCCGCTGCCTGCAGTCTTCAGAATTCTGGTGTCTCAGATCCTGGACCGAACAGAGCCTGTCCTCTACTCCAGTATGTCCTCAGAAATCGTAACAGTCTTTCAGTATTACAACTATTTTGCCAGCCACAGTGTTAATGACCTTGGAAGCTATTTGCTGCAGCTTGCAAAAGAAGGTAGGATAAATACCTTTTGGAAACTGAAGGGGAAATATATTCTCAGTCTTTCAGAGGTCAGAATAAAACAGTTTGGCCCTTCAGCTTGATTTTTTAAGAGAAATAGGAAAGAAGGCAAACAATTGCCTTGGATGCTAATATGGCTGCACCTAGCCACCTGTACATATCAAAGAAAAAGAGCTGATGCACTCACATCCTCAGTAATTTCTATTTCTGTATTAGAATGGGAAATAACTATGCTGAAAGAGTTGCTTTTTATTAAATGGCTGATGCTACTGGGCTGGGCCCCAGATCTGGGGAGGTTTCTGTGCCCACGGCTTTGATGGAGTTCCAGTCTTTCATCATCCTCTGTGGACAGACCTTCTGAAGTGCTGAGCTCATGTCAGGAGCCACCGTGGGGTTTGGCAGGTTCTGGCCCTGAGATCTAAAGAGGGAAGCAGACCCTCCACAAAGCATGCTCAACTTTAATTCCTGGGAAGGAAATTTGTATTCTTTTCCAGTTGAGAAAGGCTGAGGAACTTTGCCAAGTTTCCACTTTTATTTGGGCACACTGGAGAGCTCTTGCTCAAAAGCCTGGAAGGAAAAAGGCATTTCAAATCACTTCTGAAAAACACAAGCCCTCACTCTTGGTGGGGGACAGCAACCTGCTTAGAAAAATAAGTGTCACAAAGATGCTCTTGAAGTCACTACCCTGACTAGAACAGTGGCTTCACTTGTTAGGGGGGAGAACTTCCAGTTTCCATCAGAACTGGAGATTTGATGACCAGGCACTCAGCACACCTTCTGGATGAACCTTAGCACTCCATCTAGCTCATCTACTCATCTCCTCCTCGTTAGGACAGGTATTCGAGAAACCCAGCCCAGCTTAAAAGCACAGAGTCTCCCATGCAGGCACACTGCAATGCTGCCAATTGCCAAGTTGAGGATTTTTGATCTTTCTGAGTAATAAGAAAAAAAAAAAAGAGGATCGCTAGTTGGGACAGGAGCAATCTAAAGTACTGAGAGGATAAAACAAGTAACAAGGACCTTTCTGCCTTTTGCACTTCTAGCCTCTGTGGTTCAGATGCTACAGTCAGTGAAAGATGGGAAACTGCAGCAGAACATGGCTAAAATAAACTCTAATAACCTTCCACCACAACAAGAAGTATTGAGAGCGCTGGCTTTACTTCTGACCGAAAATAAAAATGAAGTCAGTGAGACTGTGGCATCACTTTTAACAGCTACTGCAGAAAACAGGCTCTTCAGAGAGAAGGTAAGTGGCAGAAACTCACCTATCCCCTAATCATGACATTATAAATTTCTGCCTGTAGCTTTCAAATGCCTACTGGTATAAAATAATTTCTCCAGGTTTCATTTAAACTGATCCTATGAGGTTTTCTGCATATTTTTTTTCTGTAAATATGTAGAACTGTTTCTATCTGCCATTATACTAAAGAGGTACTAGCCAAAACTGTGCAAATAGCTAGCAAGCCCTATCACCTCCAGCTGTCTTGCACATTTTAGCATTTCTGATGGGCACTCTCAGACTTGGCTTCAAAGTAACATTCCCCAACATCATCATTGTGCAAAGACATAAATTTGAGATGTTATTCCAAAGAAGGCTGATATCTATGGGCTCTTCCACCATTTTAGAAGGCGACGAACTGCCTTGAGTGAACCAGGATCAGCTCTGATAGACCGGAATTATTTGACTTCACAAAAGCCAAGATCTATCATTGATCTATCATTGATGCAGAAGATAATAAGCAGAGCCAGATTAAACACAGGAAATAGAAGAAGAGGAAGAAATTATGGATTGACTTATACCCCTTTCACCGCACACCGGTCCCTACAATCCTTTTGTTCTCGCATCCTTCTTGTTCCCAGTCAGGATAGAGTGAAAGAACAGGAGGCTGGAAGGAGACAAGAGTGGCAGAATGGAAGACATAGAGGGAGCTCATTCTTTCCTGCTCTTCTCTACCAACTTAGCCCCCTTTTTCTTTGCCTACCCACTTCATTTTCCCTTTTTACAGTCTCTTGGTATCTCACACCACCCTCTCACTGTTCCAGCTTCATGGAGGCAGCATTGCAGGGAAAATATAACCTTCTCGTGGAACATACACTCAGCTGGTTGCCTGCCTGAAGAAAAAAAAAAAAAAACACCAGATGTCTTATGGCATTATGGAGTTCATTATACTGCCACCTGCCACTAAGCTTTGCAGCTCATGCTGGTTTTGTTTGCACAGCAATAGTTATTGATTTCTCAAATCGAGCAGTAAACTGGTCTAGGAGCTCATGGTGAGCTTGCAACAGTCAATTCTCAGTCCTTCTGAAGCCCGTTCCAGCCAGGTCGTTACTAGCACTGTATTAGAGCAACCAGCTCAAGAGGCAGCTGGAGTTATTTAGACTCCAAGGCCTATTCGCTCCCTGGCAGGTTATGCAGAGGCATCTCAGGGATGCCAGGTTGTGCTGCTCAATTTCACGTGAGCGTTTACTCATCAAAAATCACCCTCAGGCCGCTCACCTTCGCAGAGCTGTAGTTAGTGGCCTGGGCCGGATCTGCACTGAGGACTTGCCTCCTCTCTGCCCTTGTGCCCACACAGCCCGAGGAAGGAAGGGCTTTGCCTCCCAACGCAGGAGGGCAGCAGCACCTCTGCACACCTCCCTTCTGCTCCACACAGGTGCAGACATTTTCATTGTTCACTCTTTGTTATCTTGTTCTTATCGTCTTTATCTGTTTTTAGGCCTTGATTTATTACTGTGAAGCACTTACCCAGCCCAACCTCCAGCTGCAGAAAGCAGCTTGCCTAGCTCTAAGATACCTCAAGGTAAGAGGCAAGGAATTGAGTTGTGGCACTTAGGTTTACTTTTAAGTAAGGGGTATATGAAAATGATAAGGTTTATCTTTTGCATTTCATCTTTGGCTCCCTATCATACTGATTTTAAGAGAATCACTTTGGCAAAACAGAGAAAAAATTGAGTTCTGGCTGAAAGGAAAGATATCCTCTCCCAGAATAAAATTAGCTGTATGCATATGGCTTGCAATCCAAGGGAGGAAGAAATCACAGTTCACTTTGTGCTACTTCCTAGACAGCGTAAGCCAGAAGCACAAACTATAGTGGTACATAACTGGTACACCTGAAAACAGCATCTTCAGCTCACTTCTGTGCCATTTCTGCACTCCACCTGTGACAAAAAGGAAAAGCAGTTGCTCTTAACGCTGGCCATGTAGAGCCATGGGAGGCAGCAGCTGTCTAAGCCTGCCTGGTACTAGACACTGGGCCAAAAGAATGTGTTCAGTAGAACAGACACTGCAGACTGATTATTTCTCCCTCAAAATTGCACCCTGGAGAAGACCGCCCTAGAATGTAACTGCATGCAAAACCAATGCTCTTCAGCACCTAGTCCAGTATCACTTAGACATGAAAGACTGTTTCCCCTTGAACAGAATGCTAGCAGAGCACGAGCCTATAGCAGAACCCACCCAGACTCCCAGCATAAACAAGACATACACAAACACTGACTCTCTAGCTCAGAACCTCCTCCTTGTGTCATGGCCAAGGAAGGTATCTGCCCTTCGTTTCACTCGCTCTGTTACTGCGTTATTGCATGACCTACTTAGATACTATGACAGCTGCTATCTCTGCAGGCCTTTGACGCACGGCAGAACAGATTTACTCATTTTCTTCCCAAAAAAGCAGACACAAGGAAAATTGTGGAAGTGCTGGTCAGCACAGAGATCAGTGAGGAGCCTGCAGCAATAACTTCAAGTGACTTGGCTGACTAGAAAACTGCTCATACAAATACAGTTAGGCCTGGGGCAACAGCCTTTTCTAACTTACCAAGTTGGATAGACTGGGGATGAAACTCCCTCCCTTGTCACCCGCCTCCCTTTCCTCTTCCTACTGTACCCATACATTGGCACATGTATGGCCTTGTCCCACAGCCCTTGCACGGTCTATAGTCCAAAGTCAGTCTTATTTATGCATACAGCATACTTACATTTACAAAAGTATTTGTGCATATGTAGACAGTCGGAAAGGAAGTGCAAACACCACTCAGTACAGTCACACAAGGTTGTGAAATAAAACCCCTGTTGTAATATGTGGTGCTAATACAGTTGGTTTTGTACTTTCCAGGCTACTGAGAGTATTAAAATGCTAGTCACGCTCTGCCAGTCTGACAATGAAGAGATCAGAAAAGTGGCATCTGAAACTCTCCTCTCCCTTGGTGAGTTGCATGTTTTATAGCAATACACCCATGTTTCTGTTTTTAAACACAGTAGCTAATTAAGGCACCTAAGATATACAAATGCAAGGTGCTAGGTTGAAATAAAACTTCACCTAGAGGCTCAAACAGATTAAAATATATATATTCTTAGAAGTCATTAGTTTTGAAAAACATGAAAATGGACCAAGAGAAATTAAATTACGTGAGTTTGGAGACGGAAGTTAAAAAAAAAAAAAAGGCAGAAAAAAGAAAGAAGTTGACAAACAGAAATATTTTATGATCAAGCTGAAAAGGTACAGATGTTCTGTGCCATACTTAAAAAAATAAAAAAAAAAAGGCTGGACCAGGAAAGAGAGCTGCTGTGATTTAGAATTTGATGATTTTAGTTAGGTCCGTGCTCAATGAGGGATTCAAGCTGATCACTCCAGTGACCTTGCACTGAACTAAAAAAACAATCACTGCGTCTTGCATGTCAAAGGGAGCGTAATCTCCACCTGAGAGCTTTAAGGAGGCAGGACCAGTGCACCATATATCAAACATTCTCCTCTGGGAGAACATTCTGTCATGTATTGAGCCTCCATTCCTTATTCAACTGAACAGTTTATTCAAACAAAAACCTGTTCTCAAATGCCCTCTCACTGCCACATGTTCCATTTGTGCTAAGTTATCATTATATACTTATTTGGACAGACCCTAATCCGCAAGTCTTCCAGAAATCGAACATCTTATACAGACCTTCATTTGTACCTGGCAGAACAGCTAACCTGCCCATCTGCCTGTCATCCAGCTGCATCTCAGTGTGAGGCTGCAGAGTTGCACAGCCCCAGTATTATAGGGGCACAGCTACAGTCTAAACTAAAACCAGTTGTATTTTGCTGGCCCTCCCCGACACTGCAGGCTACACATGAATTTCTGCCTCACAGGTGTGTCCCTCTCTGATGTTAATCATGCAAGTT